AAACCCTAAACCCCAACACTACAACCCAGGAATACTTTCGGGTGGTTTGACGAGCTGGAAGATGGTATCAGCTACGCCTTCTTCCGCTTTCCGTTGGACCCATGGGCTCATCCGGTTGAGGGGTTTAGGGGTGTAGGGTTTAGGGGTTTGGGGTGTAGGGTTTAGGGGTTTAGGGGTTTAGGGGTTTAGGGTTTAAGGGTTTAGGGGTTTATGTGTTTAGGGGTTTAGGGTGTAGGGTTTAGGGGTTTAGGGGTTTAGGGTTTAGGGGTTTATGGGTTTAGGGGTTGAGGGTTTAGGGCTCATCCAGAAAAGAGTTGATCTTCAGGGAGGATGATCCTGTTCCCTGTAGCGCCTCCGCAACGATTCTCTATCTCATGAGTTTCCATACATCAGGGATCACGACAAGCACTGCGAAGTCTTCGGAGCCCCCCCGCATCCTCAGGAAGCCTAAACCCTAAACCCTAAACCCTAAACCCCAAACCCTAAACCCTTAAACCGACAGCAGCGAAGGAGAACATTCCAGGGCTCGGAGCAGATTCCCTTTATGATGCTGCCCCGGGCAATGACGTCGAATCTTTGTCATAGTTGGGTAACATTTTACATTTTTAAGGGTACTTAAACCCAATAAGGAATATAAATTAAAATTTTTAATACTACCCCAACCATGAACTAGGAATGGCGCCTTCCCTATACTGACTGGCACAATGTGTCCAGCCCCGCCTACTTCCAGAGACAAGGCGCTTTTTGGGGGCCTTGTGTTGAGCATTGGAGGGTTCCAGGGCTGTAGGGTTTTAAAGAGGTTTTCGTGTAAAGGTTTGATAGAGGTTTACGTTTTAGGGTTTATGGGTTTCCGGGGAGTGGGGTCTGATGCTGAGGGTTCCAGGGTTTAGAGTTTGTTGGGTTTAAGCGTTATAGGGTGCGGGTTGCCTAAACCCTAAACCCGAAACCCTAAACCCTAAACCCTAACCCTAAACCCTAAAGCGTCCGCCGTCAACCCGTTGGTGGAAGCTTTGTTTCTCACGGAGGAGGTGCAAGCCTAGCAGAGCATGCGCAAGAGCCCTGCTCCGATCATGGCGGCATCTTCAAGCAGGTCAACAAGTACCCACGGTTTATGGTTTAAGGTTTAGGGTTTAGGGTTTGAGGTTTAGGGTTTAGGGTTTAGGGTTTAGGGCTACAAAAATATACGAAGCAACAACGAAATGAACACAGAAGCAAACAAATGAATGACCACATACGCAAGTGAGTAAGTAACTGGGTCAATCAGTGTATATACATATACATCTATCTCTATACGCATACATGTGGCATGTACTATTATAACTATATATACACAGTTGCATACATGTACATACATATATACATATACACATAACCCTAAGCCCTAAGCCTTACACCCTAAACCCTGAAACCTAAACCGTCACGCATGCCTGGTGCATCTAGGGTCCAGGGTTGTCGGTTTCGGCTTTTCGGCTTCAGGTCCCAGGGCAGGTCTATAGACTTCCTAGCACGTTGGGCCTGAAGCTCGGGACGAAGCTTTTGGGGTGTAGGGTTTAGGGTTTAGGGTTTAGGGTTTAGGGGGAGGGTTTAGGGTTTATGGTTTGCCACAGTCCGCAACCCACAGCACCAGCACGAACAGCAGCAGCACCAACGCCATCACGAGCAGCACGATCACAGACGTCACGCAACCTGACCCATCGGCCATAAACCCTAAACCCTAAACCCTAAACCCTAAACCTTAAACCCTAAACCCCTAAACCCTAAACCCTAAACGCCTCTTGCAGGTGGCCTGCTCTTGCGTCCATGGGCTGCGGCCTTAGTCGGTTTCCGAAGTGTTTTGCCGGCTGCTGAGGCTTTTCGGATTTAGGGTCCTGGCTTTGGGTCTGCACATGGTCCGAACCACCCGGAACCTCGAACCCTGAATTAATTTCAAAAAGGCACCATCGAGTTGGGGTGTAGAGTTTCGATGATCGGGACACAGTTTAGTAGGTTTTGTTCTACAGAATTCAGGGTTTGGGCTCTAGCGTCTGACTTACGAGCACTTAACCCCCCGCAAACCGAGGAAATTTCTGGAAACCCGGAGCTCTGTCCTGAAATCCGAAGCTCCAAACCACTAAACGCTGAACCCTCAGCCCTAAGCGCCAGTCACTAGAAGCCTCACTGCTTTAGGGCCGCGGGATTGCCGCGAAAGTCTTCCCCTAAACCTTAAACCCTAAACCACTCTCGAGGACAGAGCCAAGAGTGTCTCCGATGTCATCCTAGCCGCCGGCTCCTACTACTTGGTGGGCCCGGGTTGTCGGGTCCAAGGTTTCCTGTAACGGGTTTAGGAAGGTTTAGGGGTTTAGGATAAAGGATTTAGGGTTTAGGGTATAAGAAGGGTACTGTGAGGGTCTTACAAGCGTTGCTAAACGGGTTGCCGTGTGGGTGGGTTTGGGGTCTGAGGGTGGGGGCTTAGGTTGTCTCAATGACCCAGAACCCTACAACTCCGCACGCCGAAGTACTGGCACACCCTAAACCCCAAGCCCTACCCCGCACCCTAAGCCTCTTCGTTACAGCTAGGTTTTAGGGCTTGGGGTTTAGGGATCAGGCTTTGTCTTTGATGATAAATTGTTCTCGCCGTTCAGGATTTAGAAAACAAAGGTTCGCAGGATGTAGAATTAACTCCTAGACTTTAAACCCGGGCTTGTGGGCAGGTCTTGAAGAAGCAGGCCTTCCTCGTGAGGTATTTTAGTCGGAGGTCACAGAGGAAGCCGACGACGGTCCAAATGGGGTTTGGCAAGGCATGGGGCAACCGAAACTAGGGGCCTTGAAAAATAGAATTGGGTCTGCGGGTATGTTCTAGTGTAATATACATATATATATATATAGGTGTAGAGAGACCGCCACTCCTACTGAAAAGGGGGGGGGGGGTTCAAGACAAAATCGTTCCCTTTTATCTTGAACATGCCCCTTTGGCTTCCGGACGGGAAAGATGTTGGAGCTTCGGCCACAACTTGCCTAGAGCACCCCACGAATACTAAAACCCAATGCGAGCACGACCAAGAGCCTTGCGCCGAACACCCCAAAACCCAACCCTCGAAACCCTATACCCCCTAAACCTTGCACCCGAAGCCCCAAACCCTAAACCCCAAACCCTAAAACAAAACCCCAAACCCTAAACCCTAAACCCTAAACCCCTAAACCCTAAAACAAAACC